GGAGGAGAAAAGTAAATCCTTTATTTGTGTGTTTTAAAAATCTCTTTTTCTTAATTTACATTCCACCTTTTATTTTTCTCTCTTTTCACCTTCTCCTTTCTCCTAAAACCAATAAATTTTGAATAATGGAATTTCTATGTCAAAAATATATCGGTCCCATGATTAATGGATTCATTTAATTGAGGTATGTACTTGTTGTATATGGTTCTTTAATTTTGTTCTAACCAAATTTTAAGCTATAGCAGTAAAAAGTCTATAAAGTTGATCAAATCAGTTATGTTGCATTAATTTTTGTGGAAAGGAAACATAATAATTTTTCGTTACTGAATATATATTGACAGTACAACAATGACTAGACCTACGCAATTCTAGGAAAATAGAAACTATTCATTTTGTTAAATTAGTTTTGGAATAAAGTGATTTTTTCGTATGAAAAATTCCTTCGAATGTCTTTTCCAAAGATAAACTAAACAAAAATATTCATCACATGCACGAAAAAGAATAGAAAGGTGAATACTTTGGAATGGTAATATCTTTAACATCCCACACGGTCTGTATGCTTTGCTTTAATAACTGAAACCCAAGGTTGATTTCTCCTTTTTATAAACCCTAAATTCATTCCAAAAAGAAGCATAATTTTTTTAAAAAATAATAAAAAGTTTAAATTACAAAAAGAAAAGTAAGAACAAAGAAAAAGATGAAAAGAGAGAGTGAGAAAAAAGGAAGAAAAGGGGAACAAACCAAATTTTTGCTTCTTTTAGCTTGTATCTCTCTTTCACATGATTATCACTTTTCTCTTCTCCCTATGTATTTTCTCCTTTTCATTTGTAAATTATACCTTAATGATTAAAATCCTTAGTATAGTTTTTGGATAATCAGTTTTCTCAGAGTGATGTTCAAATCAATTTAACATTTGATCCTGTGACTTCACACATGCAATTGCTTTAGTCAACATCAGAGGCTGTATGTTATAGCCAATTTGAATCATTCGTGTACAACCTCTTAATATTTTGTTTTGTATTTTTTTTCCAATAATATACATTGTGCGAATTTATACTTACGTAGT